TTTTTTTTAAGCCATCTGGTAATCCTAATGGTTGCACACAAGTCTCCCCCACTATGCTGCTGCTTCTGTATCAGAGGCAGTGGTGGTGGGGGCAGGGAGCAGACAGGAGCCAGAGCCTGCAGGAAGCCAGCTTTTAAACAGGCTCCCTGTAAGCACTACCGCCTTCCCCCCCCCACTGCTCTCTCTGATACAGAGGCAGCAGGCAGGAGCATGTGCTCCAGTTTTTAAATTGGCTCCCCATGCACACCGGCTCCCTTTGAGCCAGCCCCTCAACATGTAAATGTGTAGCCACTGAAAATTTCAGCGGTTACACATTTACCAAAAAAAAAAAATGCTTTTTAACACTCCTAGTGGATAACATATGGAATCCAAAACTGTGCACTTATGACATTCTAAAATAGTAATAAAATAGTGCTGCAAAGCCACTACTTACTTAGTTAATGCTCTTCACAAGAAATAAATATGAATACAGGCAGTCCCCGGGTTACGTACAAGATAGGGACTTGTAGGTTTGTTCTTAAGTTGAATTTGTATGTAAGTCGGAACCGGTACATATTGTAGGGGAAACTCTAGCCAAACATTTCTCCAGAGCTCAGTTTTATTCTCCCACACCTCACTTCCCTCAGTCCTTTATTCTCAAGCTGAGGTGTCTGCTGAGAAAAGCCACTCCGCGTCTCCCTGGTCTGCTGGGGGGAAGCAGCTACTGTGGGGTTGCCTCACCCCGTTTGTAAGTAGGGATCTGATGTAAGTCGGATCCATGTAACCCGGGTACTGCCTGTATTTCTCAAATTATTTAATAGGAAGTTACTCACCTTGTGTAGTAACGATGGTTCTTCGAGATGTGCCCCATGGGTGCTCCACTCTAGGTGTCGGGTCCGTCCCGGCACCACTGATCGGCAGATTTCAAAGCCATACCGGGCCGGGCCGCGCATGCTCCCTGCGCTGCTGGTCATTCGCGCCCTTTCCAACGAGCGCGGCTCGACCCCCCCGCCAGTTCCTCTTAACCGTCCTCGGTTGCTGACGGAAACTGCGATCTCTCTCCAGTCGCTTGCCTTTTCTCTGAAAAAAAAAAAACAAAAAAATGCTAGTCTGTAAATAGTTTGACCTTTACTGTTAGTTAGTTAGTTATTAGTCTTTGTTTAGTTAGTTAAAAAGGAAACAGAAGATCTTTAGTCAGTTGCGCGCCGAAGCACTTTCCTGGTCAGTTTCACCGCCATGTCCGGATCACCCAGCTTTAAGCGGTGCGGACAATGTAAGGAGGCAATGCCTGCTTCTGATGGGCATACTCTCTGTTTTCGTTGCCTGGGGGAGTCTCATGTCCCAAGCAAGTGTGCCCACTGCTCTAAGCTGACTCCGAGGGCAAGAAGAGACAGGGACCTCCGCCTCAAACTTCTGCTCTGTGATAAGGCTCTTCAGCCATCAAACCCTCTGCAGCAGGAGTCCTCACAAACCCCAAAAAGAAGGGCATTAACTCCTGCAGCAGCCGGAGCAAAAAAGAAAAAAGCCTCCCCTGCCCGCTCCCTGCCAGCGGTCCCTCTCCCTCCAGTGAATCAGGGAGACCGGGGATCGGACAACAGCCGCTCCGCGGCTAAGTCAATTTCGCAGCTGCGATCCTCGAAACCGGGCAAGCAACGCACTGCTTCTGCCCCACAGCCAGCCTCCCCTCTCCATAGGGAGCACGAGTGGGCTCCGACCCCTTCGGGGAGCAAGTGGCCCCGGCTAACGGCACCACTGGAGAAATCATCGTCCCCGGAACGGCGGGACATGCAGGGGTCGGCACTGGAGTTGGCTGTCCAAGCGGTCACGGAAGCGGTGCCACTTATGGCTCCGCGAGACCGGGCGCCTTCGGCACCAAACAGACGGCACCGGGAGAGCCCGGCACCGCAAAGCGAGGACCCGGCACCGTCAGTGCAGCCGGCGCCGGCAGCTATCAGCTGTTCCGCAGCACACCCGGTGCCGCAGGAATTACCTGCATCAGCACCGAGAAAGTCCTCGCAATCTGCTCAGCAACCTATGTCCAGACTGCAAACAGGCTCTCCCTCCTCCCATGAATCAGGCTCCCCATCTGTCAAAGAGATTTATCGCAGCACAGCAGGGCACTCTTCAAGTGTTAAAGGGCACTCATCATCAGCCCATACAAAGGCATCTGGGAAGTCGATCCCTAGGGATCATTCACTGTCTCCCTCTCCTGTGCTTTCAACATACCCTTTCCCACCCCATTATTTGGGACCGGGAATGGAACCTTACTATCCAAGGCATAGGTCTTCGTGTTCCCCGCAACGAAGATCTCGCCATTATTACAGACACATATCTCGCTCTCCGAGTTACTCTCCTCCAAGATCTCACCATACTAGACATGGCAGTAGATATGCATCCAGAAGACCATCTCCTGATTCGGACTACCATTACCAGAGGAGTTATTACACGGGGAGGCAGGGCAGATCACCGTCCCACTCGTATTCGTGTTGTTGCCGTCAGTCATCTTACAGATGCCACTTGCCAGCGGTCTCTGATCATCGACTGTTGCAGTCACCCAGACCACCTCCTAGTGCCCCCTCAATTTCGGTCCTGTCGGAGCCTGAAGAGGGCCAGAGGGCAGGGGCGGAGCCTGGTAACGTGGCGTCTGGCGTCATCGGACCCGGACGCACGGCGGGGGCGGGGCCTGGTGACATGGCGTCTTACGTCACCAGGGCCGGACGCCGGTGGGGGGTTTGAAAAAGGGGAACGGGGAAAGACAGAGGAGGGACGGAGGAGCAACGAGGAGGAAGGAGCGGAGAGGGAGGGAAGAGCAGAGGAGGAGGGGAAGACAGCGGAGGAGGAGGCACAGAACACAGAGGGAGAAGCACGCAGCACGAGAAGGAGGGAAGTGGGGCAGCACAAGTGGTGAGGGAGACTACGTAGAAGGGGGGGCAGCAGAGACGACGGGGAGCAGGACGGGCTCTCCCGTTACACAGACACACATCTCGCTCTCCGAGTTACTCTCTTCCGAGGCCTCACCATACTAGACATGGTAGCAGATATGCATCCAGAAGACCATCCCCTGATTCGGTCTACCGTTACCACAGGGGTTATTACACAGGGAGGCAGGACAGATCACCGTCCCACTCGTACTCGTGCTGTTGCCGTCAGTCATCTTACAGACGCCACTCACAACCGGCCTCTGAGCATCGACGGTCGCAGTCACCCAGACCACCTCCTAGTTCCCCCTCAATTTCGGTCCTGTCCGAGCCTGAAGAGGGCCAGATATCGGACACAGATGAGCGAGCGCCGCAAGCTTCCCCGCAGGATGCTCAATCTTCTTTCCCCGATGACGCGGTTTTTGCTATGGACTCCTCACCACCAGATGACACCAGAGAATTTCAGGACCTCTTTAAGAGGGTAGCACAATCACAGGAGGTTCAGTTAGCGGACGTGAACGTGAAGCAATATAAGTTACTGAAGAATTTGCACCCTAGACAGCAATCTAAGGTGGTTCTACCGCTGGATGAGGCGATCCTGGAACCAGCCACAGAAATTTGGAATACGCCGGCTTCCACTACTCCATCATGCAAGCGAGCAGAAAAGAGATACTTCATATCTTCAAAGGGTGCTGAGTTCCTTTTTACTCACCCTCAGCCAAATTCGTTGGTTGTGGATGCAGCTCTTCAAAGAGCAAAGAACCCACAAGTAAGAAACTCGGCAGCAGACAAGGACGCAAAGAGACTGGACATATTCGGGAGGAAAGTGTACTCCTCTTCACCACTTCTCCTCCGGATTGCAAATTACTCAGCGTTGCTCTCCAATCATAGTTTTGACAACATTGCAAAATTATCGGAAATTGCTCAGAGAATTTCCGAAACGGACAAAGTACTTCTCCGAGCTATACTGCAGGAGGGCTATGCATGTGCCAGAGCAGGCTTGCAAATCGCCATGGATGCGATCAAGCGCAACAGCAGTTTCCATGAGAAGAGCTTCATGGCTTGCGACCGCTGCCGTACCGAAAGAATTACAGTCTAAGGTCGAGGATCTTCCGTTCGACAGAATCAAGCTGTTTGCGGAGAAGACGGACGAGGTGCTCCACACGGGTAAAGATTCCCGGGCTACCTTACGTACCCTCGGGATGTATGTTCCACTTTTCCGTCGTAAGTGCTATTTCCCATTCCAAAGACGTTACGATTACCAGTTCCGCAGACAACAAAACCGTCCATACGATCAGAACCGGTCCAAGCAAAGGACACAGCGCAGACGCCCTCAGCCACCCAGGGTGAATAACGCAGGAGCACCCAAGCAGCAAGTTTGACTTTCAGGTCAAGGGCACGCCGGTCGTTCCGGTAA